CTCTGCCCGAGCTCCGCTCTTGCACTTCTGCCAACGGCACGGAGGAATTGCCGCCTCCTGCCCCTCCTGCTGAGGGGAACGGGGCAGCTGGAGACAAATCCCCCTGGCTCCCAGAGGAGGCCGGTGTGAGGTAAGGGCGGGCTGGAGCGCGGGGCTCGGGCGGTGCCGGGCCATATACAGTAAGATATGCGGGGCTGGGACAGATGGGCGCGGGCCGCGGGACCCGCAGCTGCTGGCCGGGCTGGGAGCTTGCACCGTGTCAGGGGACAGGGAGTGACAGACTCGCTGCTGGTCCACCAGCAGGTGCACTGACAGGTGCTCCCCAAAGCCCCCAGGACAGGAGATTATGGGGGAACACTCCTGGCTGGTTCTCCCGGCAGATTTCAGTGTGGCTGCTTCTGACTCGCTGCAGCACAGAGCTGGAATGGCTGCTGGCTCCTTCCAGTTACTTGGTTTTGAGAGACAGCTGTGAAAATCCGTGATGGGTTTCTCCAAACAGTTAGTATTTCCCAGAATATATTTTGGACCTGGCACAAAATAATGCTGTCATGACGCGGTGACCGTCTGCCAAGAAATGACAATGCAAATATGTCACAGTCAGGCCTTGTATAGGGAAATTCTCCTGAAGGATAGGACTTTGGGCGAGGTGCCCAGGAGGTTTAACTCTGCACAGCTTCCCTCACTCCCAGGGAGCTGCTCTGATATCCATCTGGGAAGAATCTGGCCAGGGCTGTAGTAGTGACTGGCCTTCCAACATAGCAAGGACAAACAAGGGTAGAGGCTGCTCAGGATGGCACTCCCAGGTGGGGACGTGCAATGTCCCCAGCCTGCCAGTGGAAAACAAAGTGACTTGGTGTTCACTAGTTCTTTCTGTGCTGGAAGGACAATCCAGCAGTGTCCAGGTTGAAGGGACAAAACAATTCTGGTGCCAGTGGCTTCACACTGTGGACCCTCCATATTGGAGTGAGAAGCGAGACACAAAAACAAGTGAGAGAGAAGGAAAACTCACTCCTTGTAGGCTTTTACTGTGTGGTACAATGGGAGTCTCTGGGTGGTAAGTTTCTCTTCATCTCACAGAATGTTTCTGTCCATAGCAGCTTCAAAAGCTTTCCCAAAGCCCTGGCTGAGAGGGAGACCACAGGGTTGGGCACCAGCACCAGTGAAAATAACTGGCCAACCCCATTAAAGAGGACTGGCTCTCCATCTGCTGTGGATCAGCAGCACCAGTCCCCTGCTTCTCCTGAAGGGCCTCAGAGCACTGACAGACAGCCCATAACTCAGCCTGGAGGTAACTCCAGAGAGCCAGCATTGGAAAATGCCAGCCTGGACTCTGGGATAACCAGCACAGCACCCCCAGTGAAGGCAAAGAGCAAGACCCCAGAGGATATTAAGTCAGAGGCTCTAGCAAAAGAAATTGTCCATAAAGACAAGTCTCTGGCTGATATCCTGGATCCAGATTCCAAAATGAAAACTACCATGGACTTGATGGAAGGGATTTTCCCCGGTGGAAGCAGCGTGCTGAAGGAGAACAACATGAAGAGGAAGATGTGGCAGACACAGGCCAGCAGGACGGCGGCGGCGGGTGACACGTAAGCACAGCTGGGCACAACTCCCTGCTCCCTTGCTTCTGAAACTTGGCCTGTGCCAAATTTTTCTGCATGTCTGTAGGTGCGAGTGAGTTGTGCAGTTCAGAGGTGTGAGGCCTGGCAGGGCATTTCCAAGCAGCCTTTCCCATGAGCTGGGCTCTGAGCTCACCTCTCTGGGCTGTGCTGAGAACGATGCTGAGCTTGGGAACAGAGCAGGAAATGAAATGTCCCTGGAGATAGGTTTTGCTATCTGAACCTTAGTAATCTGAAGCAGTTCAGTCCAAAGCAAAGGAACAGAGAGAGTGGAGTAAAATCAGGATGAAAATAATGGCAGGCACAGAGATAACAAGAGGCCAGATTCTGGAAGGAGGGTTGAGGGGAGCTGCTTGTTACAAGATCAGCCCAAGTTGCCCACTGTGGGTTTTTTAAGACAGAGACTTCCAGGTGGCAGCTGGAGAACTGTCCAGAAGTCAGGTGTACTGCATGAAGCCAGGTAAGGGCAGTCTGGCCACCTTCAGCAAGGTAAATCCTGTGCAGTGCTGTGTCCAATCACCTTTAAACCCTGGCTGTGCTGTGCATCAGGGACGCCCTGATGGCAGGAATCTGCCTTGTCCTGGTGGGTAATCACCTTGGAAGGTACCAGAGAGGGAGTCCTGGAAAACCATGGGTCTAAACACCGGGAAAAGTCAGGCTCAGACTGAACTCTTGCTTTTTCTTCACTCTGGTGTAGGAGAGAGGAAAGGGAAGCTCCTGTCACCCTGGTCACCTGTCCTGCTTACTACAGCGTTTCAGCACCCAAAGCAGAACTGCTGAATAAAATCAAGGACTTGCCAGAAGAAGTAGGTGAGGAAGAAGAGCTGCTGGACATCAATGAGAAAAAGGTAAATTCAGCACACAGTACTGTTTGCTGCTCACATTCCTGAAATAATAATAAGCTCTGAAGTGCATTTCTATTTGATGTCAGCTTTTGGCAGCACCCAAAATTGCGTGGGAGCAGTTAGGCCACCCGTGAAGCTTCGTTAGAGTGACCCAAATTGTATAAGAGAGTTAATCTGAATTACTCACTGCAGATTGAGTACCAATCTTGCACCACCCTGAGGCAGGCCTGATCATACCTAATGCTGAGTGTACAGACTGTCAGGAGCTGTCCCTGTTCAGCAGCAAGGAAGGAAAAGGGAGAAGTGAAGCAAGTTGTATGAGGCCAGCATGAGATGGAAACAAAAACAGAGTCCAGCAAGTGACTGCACTGAGTGCAGGAGATTTTTTTCCCCAGGACTTTCCTTTTCAGTGAAGTCAGTTTACTCATTTCACCTGTTGTCTGCACTCACTGCATCCAAAGAAACATGGGTTACTCTTTTTCCCGCAGACTATTGTTTCTCTGCCCCACTGAAAGCCAGGTGCACCTCGGAGGCTCATCCAGCACAACCTCCCTGGGATGGCTGGGAAGGACAGAGAGCAGGCAGGAGGGAAGGACACATTTTGCTCTCTTACTGAGCCTACATTTCCCTGTGGAATGGCCCCCTGCTCTTGCTGCAGGCTTCCATGCTCTGCTTCCAGGGCATTTGAAGGGCCTTCTCATTTGCCCCGTGGTTGTCTCACATTAGTTACCTGGTAATTACAGGTATGCTGCTTAGCTCCCACATCCTGGGGGACATCCTGGTGTTTGTGGCCTGACTGTGCCTCTCCTACACACCTCCTACCTTCCTGTCAAAAGCTGCCATGCCTGCCTCTAAGTCTAAACCATCCCACGCTGCCATGGAGAGTAGCACAGCCCAGATTTCATTTTCTGTTCACCACCTTTTCTTTCTGGAACTGCACAGATTCTGGGTCACAAATACACAGGTGGCTCACTGATCAAAAGCATTTGCCCAGGGCCTTTGCCTGCTGCTTTCATCATGTGGCCCAAAGCACTGGTTGTAGCACCCCCAGCTCCAAAGGCAGCCCCTGCCACATCCATAGCATTCCTTGGACTCCCTTCCAAATCTGCCTGCTCAAACCAAGGTGAGAGGTCCAGAACAAGACAAGGGTGCTGCACCATGAGCCTGCCATGGAGGGCAAGTCCCAGCTTCAGAGGTTCCATTTGCATGGAAAGCCAGGAGGAGATGGGAGTGATTAGGCCCAGGCAGCACAGTCTGGCCCCTTTGCTCATGGTCTGTGTGCAGGAAAACTTGCACAGCCTTACCTGAGGAGGGGCTCCTGAGGGCAGCACCTGTGGGAAATCTTCTGGATAAACCAAGCACATTTCCACTGTAAGTGGAAAGAAGATCTATCTGTTGGCTGGTGTTTGGGATTGCAGGAGAGTCACTGGTTAATGAACACGAACCTAAGTCACAGCTCCTCCAGCTCCCAGGCCTTCAGAACAGAGGTACCTGACTCTCAGGAGCCCCATAGCCTGCTGCTGCAGTTGGAGGGCAGATCTCCTGGAGCAGGGAGGAGCAGCTGCCGGTTCCCAGCAGCCCCATCCACCTGAAAACTTGCTGAGGTTAGTGCCAGACTTTGAGACCACCCCATGGCGTCCTGCCACAGAGACTGCCCCACCTAACTGTAACCCTGGACATGCATCCTTCCTGATGCTCCTCAGGATTTGGTACAGCAATCAACTGCTGAGGATCTTTCTTTGGAAGGGGGCTTTAGAAACACAGCCCCTGGGAAGGGCAAGGGCTGGGGTTTGTCTCTGGGTACTCCTGAGGGAAGCTGAAGGAGTTTTGGTTGGCCCTTAGGAAGTGGGATTTAGTATTACCTTTGCTCCCTCTCCCCTGAGCTACCCTGCTGGCAGTGGGGGTCATTCCAGGGAGGGGATGTTTGTTTCAGGGAATATCAGTGGCCTTTTGCTCAGCCTTTGCTGCGTGTGGCAGCGGAGGGCGGGCTGTGGTGCAGGCACAGAGCAGTGCACGTCCAAGAGTTCCATCTAGTGGTGCCTGGCCATACAGAGCCATGTGCTCCCTGCTGCCAGCCCGCCCCAGTGACCCCAGCCTCACCAGTGTTTGAAAATCCTGCCTGCAATGACACTCAGTTGTGATGGAAGGAGGACTCGGAGAGAATCTTTTCAGACCACCTTGTGACTGACTTGTTCCACCCTGTGGTGTTTGCGTGCAGAGCAGATGAACACACAGGTGTTTGTGCCTCAGCAGTGCAGGAGCTGGAGACATTGAGAATCCCCACCCGCTGCATGGAGAGCTGCTGCTGCTTGCTGTGCTCTCAGTTCCAAGTAAACAGAAGTAGGAATGGCAAGCCCTAGGCCAGAGACTTGCTTCTGCATGTGTCTTTCCACTAAATCCTAACAGAAATTGGGATCTCCTGCACATGTGCAGCACTGCTGTTCCTGGAGTAACCAAACCCCGGGGGCCTCCTTTTCTTTGGCAGGGAATAAGTGTCAGTGTTTCTGCAAAATGGGTGTGTTCTCTGTGTTCAGACACTGAGTAAATCCAGAGCATCTTTGGTGTGAAGGCTTCCTCGATGCCTCTGTGTGTGAGGCACTTGTTTGGAGCACTTCAAGGCATTTCAGGCTGGGTATGAGGAGCACATCAGAGACATGGCTGCAGCTCTTTTCACTCAGAGGTTTTACAGAACATTCATCTGTAGGTAGGTAGGTATCAGAATACAGTACACCAAATCAGAGATCTCTTTTATAAATGTTCATGGAACAAATACATCATCATGCAACCGGATGAGCTGCTTGGGTTATCTCCAAGGTGGGGAATTTCAGTATTTTCTCTGTTTCCTCCCTTCTTTGTCAGCTGTTGCTGACCTGACCCTGCTCCTCAGGACCTGCAGCCATATCCTCTTGTTGTCATCACCCATATGAGCAGGGTGATGCTGGTAACAACCAATGTGGCAATGCTTCCCCTCCAACAGGCTGAGCTCATCGGGAGCTTGACCCACAAACTGGAAATCCTGAAGGAAGCCAAGGAGGGCCTGCTCGAGGACATTAAGATGAATAATGCTCTCGGGGAGGAGGTGGAGCTGTTGATCAGCACGCTGTGCAAACCCAACGAGTTTGACAAGTACAAGATGTTCATTGGCGATCTGGATAAGGTGGTGAACCTCCTGCTCTCGCTCTCGGGACGCCTGGCGCGCGTGGAGAACGTCCTGAGCAGCCTGGGGGACAGCGCCAACAGCGAGGAGCGGGTAGGTATGGGCACAGCCCGGGCCTGGGGCAGCAGCCGCCGCCACCACGGCATTGCAGCGACCTCCAGGGGCTGCCAGCAGGGCAGGCGGGGCTCGCGGTGCTCCCGTACCACCAGCTGCTCAGGCATTGTCCCTGCCAGTCTTAATCCCCCTTTGCATAAATGGCTGGGATCCTGCAGCCCTTGTCTGGATGCAGAGCAGCTGTGTTGGGCACAGCCACATTTTAACATTTTTGGGGTGGCTTTGAAACCAGATTTTCCCGGTAGTTGTCGCTTTCAGGCGAGGTTTCCTGACTTTATTGCAGCACTTTCTGCCTGCCGTTGGCAAGGATGTTCAGAGTCCAGTCCAGTGGGGGTCACAGTCCCTCCGTGATGAGGAGTTCATCCTCCTCTCCCAGGCTGTTAACTGTGCTCTGGGCGCTCTGCAGAGGTGGTGCTGGGAGGCAGGAGGGGCTCGGGAGCGTGGTGCTGCTGGTACTGAAGGGCTCTCTCTGGTGTGCAGAGTTCCCTGAACGAGAAGCGGAAGCTGCTGGCTGGCCAGCACGAAGACGCCCGGGAGCTCAAGGAAAACCTCGACCGTCGGGAACGGCTGGTCCTGGACATCCTGGGCAACTACCTCTCTGAGGAGCAGCTCCAGGACTACCAGCACTTTGTCAAGATGAAGTCTGCGCTCCTCATAGAGCAGCGGGAGCTCGACGACAAAATCAAACTGGGCCAGGAGCAGCTCAAGTGCCTGATGGAAAGTCTCCCCACGGACTTCACACCCAGGGATGCAGCAGCAGCAGCTGCCCTGGCTGCTGCACTTGCTACCTCCGCCGGGGCCGGTGGTAAAACACCTCCAGCAGCCTCTTCCTCGCTCTAACCTGGCCCAGGTGGAGCTGGGGTGCAGCCCTGCCCGAGTCCCTTTAGTCCCTTACTTGGCAGGTGCTCCTCTTCAAAGGCCATGGACAGAGACAGGTCTAAACCAAGATTTTAATGAAGGAAAAAAGAATAGCAATAATAAAGGTTTTCTTTTCCTTTCCTTCCACCTCTACTTCCTGGAAACTTAAATCGTTGTGGAGGGAAATCTCCTCCTGCCCAAGATGAGGAAGAATCTCACAGGAACTAAACACATGACCTTTAATAAAAAACATGACCTCCTCTCTTCCCTCCCTTTTCTGCCTACCTGACACCTCATTAAATAATGAAGGATCTAAGAATGAAGCCTTAAAAATAAAACCAACCCATTTTACTGAACATTATTGATATTTATATTTTTTAAAGAACAAGACCGAATGTGTAAGCTTTTGTACATACTCTAATCAGTTACTTGATTCTACTTTGTTCTGTATGTAGAAAAGACATTTAATTTTGTATTTTGTGAAGACCTTAACAAAAAGAGGGAACCCCAAAGATAGTCATGCAGTAGCTTGAAACATCTCATCGTGGTTTTGTTGCTGTTGTTGTGGTTGTTTTTTAATATAATAAAGGGCTACCAGAAGCAGCTTCACCCTGTTTCAACGCATGCTAAAGATACCATTAAGTTGCCTTACAAAGGAGATTTTGGCCACAAAAGTAACAAATTTTTCCTCTTCTTGATCCTGTGATTCTCTGAGTCTGGAATTCAAACTTTTATGGCAAGCTATGTGTCAGGAGTCCAAGCTAGCACTTGGCAAGGAAGCAAGGAATTCCCTGCAGGAACGTGGGGGAAATTCTGTCTTTATTTTGAATACTCATGGCTGTGGCCTGTGTTTCTGCTGAAGCCTGAAAGATTTCCCTGAGGTGTGACAGGGATCTCTGCTGATGTGATTTATAGGCCCTGCTTTGAGTAGAGTTTCAGGGAAACAGCGGGGGGAGCTGTTTCAATCCAATCAACGCATTTCATTTGCCCTAAAAAAAAATCCTACCCAGTGCTGCAGTTTAATTTGATTTAAAAGCACTTTAAATCCAGATTACTTTTTTTTGTTGTTTTTTTTTCTTTTTCTGCAGCCACCCTTCCATCTTATACCTAACAAAACAACTCACAAAGACATGGTAGATCTGGGAGGTGTTTGTGTGTTTTCCATTTAGCAAGTTCTTTCCTGAAAAATACAAGTCCTGCACTTTGTCCCCAGGTCAGGAAGAGGCTCCATCCAAACAGGATCTGCCTGTTTGCTCCAGGAACCCACATGGCTTCAGGGGGAGCACCTCCAGCAAGTTTGGGGTGGACAAGGCAAGTCCTGTGTGTGTTCCCACAGTACAGAGAAACATCAGCTAATGAGGCAAGTGATAGTCACTGATATTTTTATAACAGCTTATATTTTCAAGTGAGAAATGAGCTAAAGCCACAGTTTTTGTTCTAAGTGCATAAAAACTCTCTTTGCACAGTTTTGTTCAAAAATCACCTTCCTAACTGCGAAGTTTACTGAGTTTCGTAGAAGTACACCTTGATATAAATTTAAAGGTACTTACACATCAGGCAAGCCTGAAGATTTACTTCTCAGCCAAAAATATTTACTTCTTTTACTTCTGGCAAAAAGTGGAGTGTGTTCATTGCTCTTTATCCCACCTTGCTTTTTCAGTGGCTATGAAACTAGAGGATAAAGGAAACAGAGAGTTTTCTGGACTGATTTTGTGGGACAGGAATACCAGGGATAAAATCTTACACTTACTGTCCAGTCCTGGTAAATTTACCGACACAAATCTCCATTTTGGGTCTGGCTACATGAGATTTTTAATACTGAACCTGTATTGAAGTGGCTGCAGTGAGGAAAGCTAGTACATTAGATACAGTGAGCACAATCTGCTGTGCTACTCCTTCCCCAAAATGCACCTCAGGGAAGGGGTTCTCAGCAGCCTGGCAATTTTTGCTAGAAATGAACTTTATAACAGAAACATCTGGTTTGGATATTGCTCTGGAATGCCCAACATCCCACCCTGCCCCAGGGATGACAGCCTGGCCTGTTTGCCAGCCTGGGGGGGCTCTGTTTGTCAGTCTGTGGTACCTGGGTCAAGCACCTTCTCCAGAGCTGTCTCCAGGTAAGTCATGGACTGCTCAAGGATCGTGTGACAGCCACCTTCAGCTGGCCACAGGCCCAGTGGGAAAGCAGGATCTCCCTTGGGGGACTTGAGGAAAACCCTGGTAAGGACAGAGCAGTTAGACTGCTACACATGGTGCCAGCTCCAAGTAAAATCTCCTTGTGCAAAACCAACACCGTTATGTTAGATTTGCACATTAGTTAGGAACAGCCTCTCTCCTGGGTCAGCATCGCTGAAATTATTATCTCCACTCAAAGCAGGCCAGCTCTTAGTAAGGCCTCACGTGCTTTTAGCAACATGCATGTGATAGAAGCCAGGAAAATCTACTCATCCAACTTCAAATTGGCCTTTTTTTATCAGAGCCCTTGGGCGACTGGCGGTCACAAGGAATTCACATCAGATGCTTCCTTCAAGACTAAATCTAGTAAAGAGTGTTTACATACCAGGGTCTGTTGGTTGTGGGTTTACACACAAGCTCTTTTGTGAAGGTTACCTATAAAACTGGTCCAACCCAGAGCACAACAGTTTATCCATCATCTTTACAACTCAGCTGCTGTCCTGATTGTTTAGGCTGGTAATTAAGAAAGTAAAGCAGACTGGATAGCACTCCATACCCACTCCACATAAATCCTGTCCTTTGCAGAACAGGAAACAGAGAGCTTTTCATCGAAGAGTCCCTGCTTTAAATCAGTGTGAGCAAACTGAAGCACACCTAGAGACCCCATCCCAAGCTTCTCTGTGCCTCATTCACTCACCCTGCAAGGCAGGGTTTCCATAAGAGCTGCTTATCCCTTTACACCCCTCAGAGGGGACGTGTCCTGACTGTGGCACAGTGTTAGGGCTTGGCTGTGTTCCCACAGGAGTGCTGCTCGTGCCTTTGCACACCAACCAAGTGTCCTGCAGCTCTGCTGTGTGAGGGGGTTTTTCTCTCCCTGTGTGACTGAACAATCAGCCCTTGTGTTGTGCAACTGGCTGTGTGTCTGTGGCCAGCCTTTGTGCAGCTTGGTGTGCATCGGTGCCAAAACCCATTGCAAAAATCTGCTTTCTTCTTGCCCATTTCAAGATGTCGGGGAGATGGAGCCAGCCAGGCTCAGCACCCTCAGACAAGCTTGAGAGGGGGGTCAGTGTGGCTCTGCCTGCTTTGAGATCAGGAAAAAGGGCTTGTTTTCTCCTCAACCATATAGGGGACAGGGTACATGTGAGCCAGACAGCTTTTTCCTCTGTGGTTTGCAGCCTGAGGCCATAGCCTTCCTCTAGGGCTGCACTGAGAAGCAGAGGCACTTCAAATGAGAAAATCCAGCCTTACTTGTTAAATTCTTCCTTTTAGCGCTAAATGAACTTAGAGAACTAAAATGCAAAAGAAAAACAAAAAAAAAAAAACAAAAATGAGGACATAATTCAGCTGGGGAGGATTAGAACTGGTGAAAGCTTGATGGAGTATGGGGGAAACCACTCATGAGGTGCTTGTGGTTTTACTGAGGTAAAATAAAACTTTGATTAAACAGCAACAACAAAAATAATAAAAAAAAATACACACAAACCACCAGCTTAGAAAGAATGAAATTGGAATATGAGCAGCTGTGAGGGGAAGAAGTGTAGGGAGAGAAAGGGGGCCCTGAGCAGAAGCTGCTCATGGCTCTTCCCGCCAAATTTTTCGGCAGGAGCTCTTTTCCCTCAGGGACCCGGCCGCCATCTTAGGGGGCTGCTGAGGGGAGGGCCCCCTGTCTGTGAGGGGCTCTGGATGCCCAGGACTCACCAACCTCACCTCCAGAAATCTCAAAAAACTTCCAAAAATGAGAGCAGGGCTCGCTGCCTGTCCCTGCTGCTGTGTTTTTATTGCCAACACCTGTGTGGCCTTCAGGGTTAACGAGGGACAGCTGGGCCGGGCCAGCCCGACAGGAGTCCAGTGTGAGGGAGTGCCGGACAATGGACATCTCAGCCTGAAGCCTGCTGAGAAAAGGTGAGTAAAGCTCTATTCTTTATGTATTTTTTTACTCTTCATGAGGCAGATTGGTAGCGTGCAGCTGCATTGGAGATTTAAGGGGAAAAAAAATTGCTGTTTGTTGGAAAGCAGGAGCGTCAGGTGTTTGGTTTCTGAAGGGAGGGAACGTGTTGGCCTGTGGGGATTGCAGGGCACCCACACCATGGGGGTCTCAGCTCCTGCCCACAGCCTGGACAGGACAGTACAGGGTCTGTACCCATCTGACCCCAAGGATATCCCACCCCAGCACCATCCAGGCACATGCCCAGACCTCCATTGCACGCTGGGAAAGGGGAATGGTGTGGTTATGGTTTCCTGTGTGCTGCCCCAGAACAGTTGTGAGGTAACACAGCACGAGGTTTGGGGCTGACTTTGTGAAGTGAATCCTGAAGTGCCCTTTGGTTTGTACATGTTGGAACTGGGGCTGAGGGAGTGGGAGGTGAGGGCACAAGGGAGGAGGAGCAGGAGCCAGCTGGTGTTAGCCTCCTCATTTTGTACACGGGTTGTTGGTTCTCTTCGTATGTGTTTATTGTTGAGAAGAAATTGTCAGGAGACATTTTGGTTGTAAATTCCACGGGAAGTGACCCTGCTGGCTTCTCGTGCCTCACCGAGGGCTGCCCCTCACCTTCCTAGCACCCAGCTCCTGGGTGCCCAGTGTCCTCAGCCTGTCTTTTGAGGCTTTTGTGACAGTCAGTGCCACACGCAGGCTCGTGCAGCCACAGTCACTTGGATGGCCTATTTCTGTCGAGTGAAGTTAATGTGAACTGCTCAGGGAGAGGTTATTTTCTGAGAAGACAAAGCTGCTGGTCTGTCTTAGCCCTCACTGCTCTTCTAAGCTGTGCATGAGATTTTAATTCCTGTCCAATCTATTGCTTCCAAACTCACCTTCTTTTAGAACCGGTTATTTGTTCTCATCTTCCAAGGTGTGAGGTGAAAGCACCTCTCACTTAATCTGTGTTGATAAAATAATTTAGATTAGAAAAGACTCTTAAAGTCAAGTGCAGCTGTGAACCTAGCACCACTACATCCACCACTCTGCCCCAAGTGCCACATCTCCACCTTTCCTAAGTACCTGCAGGCATGGTGACTCCACCACTTCCCCGGGCAGCCTGTTCCCCTGAAAAAAGTTCTTCTCACACCCAACTCAGTGTCCATGTTATAAGGCAGCCTCACAGCTGTTTTGTAGAGGGTTTTGAGGTCCCATTTTCCCTGGCCATGACACTGTAAGGAAATAAAATGGTGAGTGCCTACTGTGCAGGATTTAAACTCAGCAAAGAAAGAAAATCTGCACCCTTTGGCCATGTTGTGGTGCTTTCTGCTCCTCTCCAGAGCAAGCAGGGCTCAGGGTTCTCCCAGAAATCTTGACATGAGTTCCCTGTGCTTCAGGAGAGCACACTTGGCAGGGACAAATGTCACTTTCCCATTGACTGTGACCCTCTCCTCTGCAGCAGGCCACGGAGTTCTGGCTTTCCCGATGGCTCTAGCAGGAGACAAAGCCTGGACAGGAACCAGCCAGGGCACGCTGCATTTACTGGTGTCCCTCAAAGGAGCAGGATTACTTATAGCTCCTGGACATGGGAGCAAAGACTCAAAGCAGCAGGAAATGCTGGCAAAGGGATGTTTCCTTCCTCCCCTTTCTCCTGTTTTGTGGTCTCCTGAGTGGTAACTGCCAGTGCTCAAAAGCAGGATAAAGTGAATTAATTCTTGTGGGAGGTCCAGGAGGGGGGTGGCCCCAGGAAGGCGCTGTTTGTGCCCTGAGCACCGCAGTCAGGAACACTTGTGGCTAACCTAGCTGGCAATCAGGGCTGCCAGCTTAAGGAAAAAAATGGGATTAGCTTTATTCTTGTCAGTTCTGAGGCACACAGACCTCACCTGACCAGGGCAGCCAGGAACAGACACTCAGCTCTAAGCTCTCCTGTGCCACTGCTGCATCAGGGCTGTTGTACCTTCTCAGTGTCACACACCTGATTGGACTTACCTTCAGCCAGGTTATGTGACAGAGGGAGAAGCAAGGCAAAAAGTGCTCTCTCTTCCCCAACTCCCCACCCCAAATACCCTGCAAAACACAGAAATCCTCAGCCTTACCTGACAGGGCAGAGCACCAGCAGGACTTGTCTTCAGCCTTCCCTACCAAACACACCCAAGCCTCTAAACACGTAGCTTCCTGTGCCATAAATGATGCAGCAGATGCAGGGCAGGAATGAATCCTTCCATTATCTGCGCCCTCTCCCCTGGGGGTGCCCAGCTCCAAGCAGCTGCTGCAGTGCAGGGGGGACAGTGCTGCTGCCATGAAGGCAGCCTGTCAGCCTGCCCACAAAGAGCTGGGATGGCTCAAATGCTCCGCAGAGGGCCGTGGCCCTGCCCGGGCTGGCTCAGCTGCTGGAGGAGCAGCTGTGCCTGGATTAGCCAGCAGGGATCACATTCCAGCACGGAGCAGCCTTTGGCTGGGGCAGCCCCACCTGCACAGGCTGTTGCTGCCTGAGCCCCGCTGGCAGCACAGTCACACAGCCACCGAGCCAACCTGCCCAGGCTCCCCATTCCACACAGCATGCAGCACTTCCTTACTTTCCATGGGTCCTCCAATGCCATGACAGTCCCAGCTCCAGCGCTGGCTTGGGTCAGCAGGCTGTGGGGAAAGAGCAGCAGCAAACACATTCCAAGGCATTGCACGAGTACGGAGGTTCTAAGCAGAAGAGACTCTTTACCAAGCTTTTTTCCTTCTTTGTCTGCCTAAGTGCAGTTAGTTGTGTTCAGTGCACTGAGGATTAAATGCCCCTGGTAACTCTGTTGGATACAGCCCTGTAGCAGGGAGATGTCCCAGACACTGACCCACAGGCTGCCACAGGGTTTGTCACCCATACTTGACGTGTTGCTCAGCCCCCGACTGTGCCTGACTGTCTGTCTCTGGCAGTGTCCACACCTCAAGTCATGAGCACCAGGGACAGCCTGGATTCCCTCAAATCAGTCCTAAGCTTTCTGCCAGGCTTCACCTTTCGTTCCTCATCTTGTTCCCAGCCTGTGTACTGTTCACTGCTCCTCAGGCCAACCAGTGCCAGCCTACAATGCACACAACTGGGAAAGCGAAGCTCTTGGCAAGAGCACAAGCCATGCCCCGAGTTCCTTGTCAGTCCCCCATCCCCAGCAGGGAGCATCCCTTCGTGGTCAGGGATGGCACTGTGAACAGCCAGCACTCACTTGTTCCTGGCTGGGACTCATCCTACACTGGAGGAACCAGAGAGGGACCACACAGTGGGGCCAGCAGGGTGAAGGGAGCAACTCCTGCTAAGGCAGCTTCACTCAGTCAGGCTTTGCCAGGCTCGTGTCTAGCTCAGAACCAGCTGCAAGGCTGCAGTGTAAGGAGGAAAATGGCTGGATACACATCCCCTCCCTGCCCACCCCCCTGCAGCACACACAGGAGCAAGCAGATTAGAGCAGGGAACAGCAGAGGAAGCAGCCATTGCAAGTTTTGGTTTATTTCACTACACAGGGGGCAGAAAACAAAACAAACCAAGCTATAGCTGTTAGCTGAACTTAATGGCTTTGACTTTGAAGTCACCCTCCACAGCCAGGTATTCAATTTTCTCCATGCCCAGCCGATTTGGGAACTTGAACTCTGCCTCGGGCAGCTTCACCGTGGCCTCAGCTTCATCGAAGGAGATGCATATCTGTAGAGAGCCATGAGAGAGAAGGAAGGACGGGAGGAAGGAAGGAATGAAGCTGACACATCACAGCTCCCAGGCCTTGCTCACTCCCACTGCCTCCCGTCTGGGCGCAGGAGAGGTGAGGTGCTGCTGCTGCCAAGGCCGTGCTCAGCAGCTCAGCCCCCTCCCTGCCAGCAGAGGCACAGCAGGGAGGAAGCTTCTGCAGCCATGGGATGAGACAGACCCAGTCTGAGCTCAGTGCTGTTGCTGCTCTGAGGGGCACAGCTCAGCCCAGAGTGGGGCACTGAGCAGCTGGGCTTGACTTGGGCAGTGCAGCTCTGGACACTTCCTTGGCTCTTCCCCTGGGGCTCGTTCCCCTTTCCATGCCTGCTCCTTCTGCCCCACACAGGCACAGAGCAGCATAAAAAGCTGTGCCCTTGGCCACTCGGTGCCTGGGCCCAGTGCACACCCCTGGGGCCTCACCTCAGTCTTGTCACCATGCTGGAAGGGGAAGTCAGCCTTCCTGTCCTCCTCCCCCCACACGCCATCCTCCTTGGAATTGCACACGATGGTGTTGACATCCCCGTGGCAGTCAAAGCGAGGGTTGAAATGCAGCATGAGGGTGCTGCTGTCCTTCCCCACGTTCACAGCAAACCTGGGCAAACAGAGCTAGTGCAGAGGGTGCCAATGCAGCAGCTCCAGCTGCCAGTGCTGGCAAGCTGAACACAGCAGGAGCTCTGGCTTCCCCCATCAATCCATTCACCACCTCACTCACCCTTTGGCATCAGACTGGATCTTCCCTTTGACCTTGATGCACTCACCAGGCTCAACATCCAGCTGAGTAACAACCAGTCCCTGCAGGGCCAAACCACAGGAGTTAGTCTATCCCAAGGCAAGGCTTCCAATCCTGCTTGGGCCAGGGCACACAGCAGCTGTGGCACACCCAAAGATGAGTTTTGTGCTAGGGGAAGGGCTGAGTCAGGCCCCTGCCTGTCCCAGCAGCCACGGGGGTCTCCCGCTCCCCTAAGCAGCATAAGGTGACAAGGAGGTGGGGTGGGGTGGCCCTGGCTGGATGCCAGGTACCCACTAGAGCCGCTGTCACAACTGCAGGGGGGAGAAAATACAACAAAAAGCCCATGAGTTAAAACAGAGACAGAGAGGGATGTTTTGCGGAGAAAAGAAGAAACTTCACAACTTTATAAAAGGTCACTCGCTGATTACTGTCACAGGCAAAACAAAGTCAGCTTGGGGAAAATAATTTAATTTATTACCGATGAAAATCAGAGCAGGAAAATGAGAAGTAAAACAGGCTTTAAAAATGCCTTCCTGCCACTCCTTCCCAGGCTCTACCTCTTCCCCATCAGTGGCACAGGGAGGCAGGGAAGGGGGACGGTGTTTGTGCCTTTGCTCGAGGACAGGAACCTTCCCCTGCTCGGTGTGGGTGCCTCCCACAGCGCTCCCCTCCAGTGAGTCCTCCCTGTGAGCTACAGCTCTTCACCACTGCCCCGACACGGGTCCCTTTCCACGGGGTCACAGCCTTCCTCGGCCATGCCCCTGCTGCGGCACAGCGCGCTCCCTGGGCTGCAGGTGCATTTCTGCCTGCCTGTTGACATCCATGGGCTGCAGAGGGGCGGCTGCCCCCCCACGGCCTTCACCACAGGCTGCAGGGTGTTATCGCAGAGCCACTCCTGCCGTCCCTGATGGGCTCGGCCTTGGCCAGCGCCGTGTCCGTTCCTGGAGCTCTGCCGACACGGGGGAGGCTCTGGCAGCTTCTCACAGCAGCCACCCCGGTAGCCCGCTGTGTTACCAAAGCCTGGTCACACAAGCCCCGTACTGAGCTACCTAACCGTGTGCAGGGGCAGGTAGGGAGGCAAAGTGCGAGTCAGCTGGCTTGGGCGCTGTCCCCCCAGCCCCCTGACGGCCCCCGTGCCCTCATGCCTGCTCCCCGCTCTGCCCGCACACAGCCTGCCCAGCTCAGGGTTCCTCGAGTCCCTGCGCCCTTATCCCCGCGGCACGAACTCTGCTCCGCCTCTGGAATGCAGCCGCTGCGCCCGGGGGGTCTTTCGAGGAAAGGAAAGCTGCGGGAGCAGGGGCGGGTTAGAGTACACTGCCAGCCTGCTTTCCTCTCCTGTTGCATTAAGAGTTAACCCACTCCTGCACCCAACAGGCATTTTCCAGAAGAAAAATACACAGATTAAGGGAAAAAAGTATAAAGAGTCTGGAAAGAGTAGAGTTGCAAACGGACCCAAACCTTTAGAGTACTTGAGAATAAAAACATTCCTCAGCTTCCCCACTTAGATAACATGCTAGAGAAGAGAAGAAGTACGGCTGGTCTGCCCTAACTGTTCTTCCCGAAGCCATACATCAGCTTTACATCTCCTCCTGTCCGCCCATCTCTAGCACCACCTCAAACCCCACAGGCAGCCCAGGCGAAATCCCAGTCCTGCTTGGCACAGCAGCCCGGCTCGCAGGCGGCACTCACTTTCTCCATGCTGCGGACACCGGCCCCGGCAGGCAGAGCAGCCCGAGCCCCTCTCCCGGCACGGAGTGACGCAGCGCCGGGCTCGGGCAGCTGATCCAGCGGGCAGGACCATCACATGCTCGGGGGGGACGGGCAGAGCGGGATTGATAATCGCAGCTGCTGGGCTGGGCCCCGAGCCTCGCAGCCACGGGCAGGGGGCGGCGGGAGACCTCTGTCGATACTGCTCTTTGCAGGCAGCCTGTGTGTGATACTAAGAGCTAGTGATTGCTTGCTTCTGCGTGATCCGTGCTGTAAGCTCTCCCAGCTGCTGTGCAGGATCCCAGGAGCCGGGTCCCGGTGCTAGGAGCCAGGTGGCTGCTTTTTGTTCGGCGATCCTGTCTCAACTCAGGGCTGGAGTCCTCGTGTTCCTGCTGCCAAGTGGCTGTCTCTGTGGATACGGGTGGATGCGCTCTCCCAGCCCAGCCTGGTGGGAGACACTGGTACAAAGCCTCGCTGCTTGCAGTTCAATGAAAGCCGAGGGCTTGGTGCAGCCCGTGTCAGCATTTCAGCAGCGCCTAAAAGGTTAAGGTTGGCGGTGTGGGGCTCTTAAGTAGATGTGAGAATTCAGGCTGCGGCTTTTGAAAAGTAGCACGATCTCGCTGGTTCCATTCCAGTTGCAGAAGGCTCCGGAGGGAAAAGAGAAATGCTTTGTTAGGGGAGGAAGAGGCCGGGCAGGGCTATGTGCAGCCGGCAGGACCGGAGAGGAGGCTGATATCCCCGAGGGTGCCCAGCGCCTGCCATTGCCCGAGCACGACTGCCCCGGGGGCTGTGCAGGGGCAGCGGCTGCAGCGCTTGGTGGGGCCGTGTCCCTGGATCGGCGTGTACCTTTCCATGTGCTTTAGCAGGGTCCTCAGGACTCTGTGCCTCAGTTTCCCTGAGGCCTGAAGTGACGCTGATGACACGCAGCTCCCCGATGCTGCCTGTAAACCCGCAGCGAGAGCTGCTCTATAAGCACAGGGTGCTGCTGGCTGGCCTGAGCCATGACCACTCTTGGGAGGGCCGCACCGGGCACCTCACAACGCAGAGCAGGAGATTGTGGCTGGGTGGAGGTGGGAAACACTCTGCCCTGCAGGAGGCTGCTGGAACTTCATTAGAGCTGGTACAGGAACAGCATCCTGCCCCAGATACCCCCCACACCCATTTCAGAGCATTCCTGTGGCGTTTCAGCAAAGCTGAGCTGCCTTTTTACTAAAAAGTCACAAGCTCGGATTGCAGCCCTGTGAATGGGGTGCATAAAAGAGGACAAAATGCTGACTGAAAGCGCTGTGGGGAAAATCCTGCACATGCCCTCACCTCCAGCTAACTCCCTGGCACACACAAGAGCCATCCAGAAGTCAGGAGTTAACTGTAGGAGTAGAGTTCACACAGGTAGCAAATGCCACTGAGAGCAAACCCCCTCCACAGAGAGTTTGGAGAAATCCCAACTAATTCCACCTTAAGTTAGCCCCATTCTCCCGCAGTGTTAGCCAGGATCACGTGTTAGAGACAGGCTTTAGGCCCTGCTCTCTGAACCTGAGTTACTGTTCCCCTGGTCGCTGGCACAGGGGAGGGATTGAGCAAATTCTGTTTGGCCAGTTGGGTTTGTGTATTTGTTTTCCTTTCAGCCCCGTGAAATCCCTGGAGACTTCTCTCCTCCTTTCAGTGCTGGGCCCTCTGTCTCCCGAAATGCACATTTCATGTGAGTTGCTCTTCTGGCCTGGCTTCCTCCTCTGACCCTTCAGACAGTGAATTACCTTTCTAATAACACCCGGAGACTGCTCTGTTTGTGCCCTGGCAGCCTGGTCGGTTTAGCAGCAAAGCCTTTGTCTTTAAAGCACTCCCTGTCGTGAGCCCTGTGATATCAGCAAGGTGTTTGTTCTGGGGCTACAATGCTGAGTTGCCTCACTGTCCTGCATCTTTCTTGGGATTAAGTGGGAGAAAAACAGGGGACACAGTGGCCCTTCAGAGGGCAGGCTGCAAAGCAAGGCAACACTGGCCAGTCCCACCCATGAGGGATGATCCCAGCCTCCCTGCACAACGGGAGGCAAAGCACACCTTGCACCTCCCGCAGGGAGGGACTCGGGCCCCATGCACCCACAGCAGGCAGGCAGGGGGTTGCGGTGTGTTTCCAAGGCCTGGGGGAGAAGGGGAGAGCCAGTGCCCTGTGCAAGCCCCTCTCATTGCCCAGGTCCAGCAGGGCATGTTCTGGGAAGAAACCCTGGGCAGAAGAGCCCGAGTGAGCCCCACCTGGGTTGTTACAAGGGCCTGCAGTCAGTACAGGCCCTGAGAGAGAGTAGCAGGGCACACACAGTGCAAGTGCCCCCATTTCAGGCATCACAGCTCTCTGCCTGCTTTGGGAGAAGTGTTGCACCCATCTGGCAGCTCTGGCAGAAGCTGGGAGACAAGAGCCATCTCTCTCCTGCTCATCCAGAGGTGATGCACGGAGGAATTTTTGGCTCTGGGGAAAATGAAGGCTGGCCTCCCGATGCTTGGCCGTGCAGGCTTGCTTGTGGGTACAGTGTTCTGCCCAGCACCAGGTCTCCAGCCCAAACTCTTCATTCCCCTCTTGGTTTGCACAGGCTGAAGGCAGACACCTGGCCAGTCTGATTTCCTTGTAACTCCCTAGAAATGTCCCAGATTTGCTTCGGAAGCGAAGGGTGCAGCATGCTGAGTGTTACTCCTTTTAATCTGATGTGAGAAAATGTACACCCTAGCCATTGGCAAAGTCGTATCCCGGCTAATCAGTGCCGTCATTAGAGATGGCTTTGCCCCGGTTTGGGAGGTCTGAGGGTTGCTGCTGGCTACCCCAGGGAGCAGGGTGTGCCCCGGGGCCTGCGGGCTCCCCACCGCCCCTCCTGCTTTGTGGCGCACGGAGCCCACACACGCTGCCGGCTGCTGGGGGGACACGTCCCGAGGGGCTCAGGGCTGCAGCTGAGAAGGAGCCCCCAGCTGCTGCCGAAAGAGTGAGCAGAAGCTTTCTCCTCCTTCGGGGAAGGCATCCAGCCCCGGGGCCAGCGCAGGAGTTCTGTGCATGCACTGCCCTGGGGGGGCACCACTGCTTCGGGCACTGCCCCTCAATCGCTGACCAGTGCAAGGATTGTGCTGCTAAAACAATGACAAGAGAAACCCCTCACCCTTTCCTAGAGCGAGAGAAAGCTTACAGTTTGCTTTAAGCTTCATTTTCTTTGGGGAAGATTTGTTCTTGTCTGTGAGTTCATTCTCAGTGCATCAGGCAAGGGCTGCGTCTTTTTCTCACGCCGGCTTTAGGGAATATTTGTGTCAATACTGTCTGGATGGGATTCTGTTCTCAGCAATAGCCCCTGGTTACTCTTACAACCTAAATATTATTCTGTTACAGCATAACAGACACACACATTGCATTTCTATATACACTGTTTTCTCTCCCTTGGAATATCTGGGGACTTGAATTTAAGCAATCGTCTGCTTCTGCTGTTGAAGTGTCTGGTTCTCTGTCGCTACCACAGCCCATCAGTTTGTCTCGTCTGAGAAGTTTGTCTTTTTGCTTGGGCAGTGATGACTCCCTGAAGAGTTTCGTTGCAGAGTTTCCCTGGCCCCTCTGCGGAGCTGGCTAAAACAATGCTCTCACTGCCACAGTATCTTCCAGCCCTGTGCTGTCCTTGGGGGAAACTCTAGGGCTCGGCTGGATACCACAGAGGAATGGAGCCAGACTCCCAGGAGGAGGCTTTGGCCTGCTCTCAGCAAACAGAGTGACTCAAGGAGCCCCAGTGCAGTGTGGCAGGAGGGTGAGAGGCGCTCCAGAGCCTGCTGGCACTCAGATTCCCCAGGCACTGCCTCAGAGGGAAGTTTGTGCCAGGAAGGTCCAATCTGCACTGGATACCAGCTGGGCTTGCATGGCCACACCACAGCGTTTTTATCCCTGAGGGCTTCCTGATTTCAGCTTTCCCTACATTTAAAAGAGGCACCTCTATTCCAGGTTAATTATAAATTAAGTTAATTATAAAGAACTTCCTGCACTGTCACAAAGTGATGAAAGGAGTTTGCTGATTGTGTCACTGGAATTTAAAGTATGTCTCCTCATTTTATTTCCCTCATTAACATTGACCCAAGCTGATAATCTGTGTGTTTCTCTCATCTCTCAGTGGATTAGATTTAACTAGAGCAAATTGTTAACTACCCTGGAGAACTGGGCCTTTGTTTTGTTGGACTCACTTCGCTTTGGCACCTCCCTCCTTCACCTTTTAAGTTTGAGGGTGGCAAATGCCTCCCCTCAAGAGTTTACTGCCTCCTCTGAAAGGAGCTGCTTGCATTTGCTCCTCGCTGGATGTCCCTGCTGTTATGAATAAGAAGCTTGACTAGGCCAATATTCAAGCAGCAATCAATGTATTATTTAATATGGTAAAGTATGAGCAATACAGTGCCGGGTACAGTGGGGGAAGTTTTCCCTCCAACTGCACACCCATAGTTGATGGCTACAGGTATTTATAGGGGTACTCATCAGCTTTTTTCAGCAGTTTCTATTTCCAATCTTTTACTCATCAGCAATTTTTATTCCAAATTATTACATCACAATTCTATACACTATTGTGATTTTAATTTCTCAGGATGTATCTCAAAGGAGTATCCCCAGATGGTGATGGTCCAGTTTCCAAAAGAAGAAAGACGAATCCCATCTGGTGGGGTCCAGCTCCCCAGATGTGTGTCCACCTTTTAATTGCAGAGACTATAAATCTCATAACAGAGATGTCCAGCTTCCCTTTGGTCGAAGCCATAAACCCTTGAGGTGATGTTCATCTTCCTTTCTCAAGCTGTTTTTCTCTGCTTCAATAAGGCGTGAGATAAGCATATTTCCTTTATATATATTCCAAAGCTATAGTTTCAAGGATACAAGTAATATTCTAAAATTATACTTCAAAAGGTTATTATTGCAGAGCTTTTTATGGATTAAATGCAAGGAAAAAGCAACATCTTTAACACCTTAATTCCAATGCTCCTAAATCAACCAGGCTTAATTGCAAACAAAAGATAGGTTCAAAGCCCTTTTTCCATGCTTTATTCTCCTCAGTTATTATTAGAATTCACAGCTCTCCCATTGTCGGGGTCCACACATTTCGCATTCACAAATACACACATCACCTGTTTGTACCTGACACAAAACACAGCTTTGCATCTCACACTGCTACTCTGAAATTAAGAATCCAGGTCCATCTTTCCCTCCTCCTTGGGGGTCACCACAGCTCTTAGGCAGCTGTTGCAGTGGGAGCTCCATGCAGAACCCATGGATTAGTGACCCTTCAGGTGTTTTCCTCGAGGTCTCTCAACTCGGGCAGCACTAAGTACTCGTTTTCCTTAGCAGCACAGCTGTTTACTTTACATCTCTGACTGCACTGCAAACTTCTGCAACAGGGAGCAGACCCTGGAACACTTCTCAGCGGGATGTCACAGCAGGATAGCAGCACTTCCCAAGCCTT